GAAGGATAGAAGGTGCTACAGTATTTACAACTATAGACCTTACACAAGGATACCATCAAATGCAGGTATATGAAGCATATCGTAAATACTTTAGTTTTACGTGGAAAGGTAAACAATACAGGTCCAGAGGCGCATCTTTCGGGTTACACTCTTTACCAGCATTCTTCAAACAAGTAATGGAGGACATGTTTGCAGACTTGCCTAACGTGCAAGTCTATATAGATGACATAGTCGTCTTTTCTAAGACTAAAAGCGAACATTCCGCATTAGTCAGACGAGTCCTTAAGAGACTCAATAAGCAAAACTTCAAGATTAACGAGAAGAAATGCCACTTCGCAATAAGCGAAATACAGCTCTTAGGCTACCATATATTTGGGGAAGGTATTAAAATCGACCCCGGCAAGGTGGAACACCTGTTAGATTAGCGAACACCAACTACAGGAAGATATGTCAACAACATGTGTGGGTTTGTAAACTTCTTTTCAGATGGAGTACCACACTTAGCTGATTATCTTAAACCTTTTGGACACTTAAGATGTCATAAAGACAAACTAGGAGACTTGTGGACTAAAGAGTGTGATGACGCATTTGAAGCGCTTAAACACGCAGTCCAACAAGCCCCTGTTGTACAAGGACCAGTCGATGGCGTGCCGTTTAAAATAGCAACGGACACCTCCGACTTACCCTTAGGAGGAGTATTATATCAGGTTATAGATAACAAACCTAGATTTATACAATTCTTTAGTCGAGCAATGAATGCTTCACAGTTGTATTACCCAACTGTTAAACAAGAGCTATTAGCCATATTGGCAGCTCAAACACACTTCCGAGATTACTTATACGGAACATCATTTACGCTGATGTGTGATCAGAAATCTCTTCAATATATGAAAGAGATGAAACCCGACTCACAATTACTGAATCGCTGGTATGATGCAATATCAAAGTTTCATTTTGATATAAAACATCTGCCAGGAATATATAACCATTTACCGGATAGGTTATCACGCTTCGTACCGGACTTTAATAAATCCGTACGTGAGTTACTTGCCACTGACTGAAAGTGTACTCCCAGGTGGTTTGAACAGGCTCAAAAGATATTTGGGCCACACACCATAGATATGTTTGCTGCACATCATAATGCACAACTATCGAATTACAGGACTCTAAATCATCCTTTGGGAGACACCTTTTAAATAGACCTCTCCAAAAATAATGCGTGGGCTAATCCACCATGGCAGTTAATTACCCAGCTATTAAATTGTGTTCATATACATAAAGCTACCATCACGTTGTGTTGCCCATTACGGAGTAAAGATCCATGGCTCAATGAATAAATAAGCATGATACTATGCGAGCCAATATATTTAGATAGGGAAGTAGATACTTTCCTATATCAAGGTACCCGAGCCGTCCAGAAGACGCTCTGGAGACATACTATAATATGTCGTATAAGTCCCATTGGAACAACCAAATGGACCCCTTCTGAGACCTTCCTTAACAAGGTCAAAGAATCAGAGATTCCACTCTCTACCCAATTGAACGTTAAGCAGATCAAAGGCAACATAGCACTTGAAGTCTGTGCACAAGAAATACAATCTACTATGACACTACTGTTAAGAAGCGTCAGTCTCTAGCTAGGACTCTGTTCAATAACATAATGTCCAAGCCCGAAGTCTTTCAACCCTTATTTCTAAAGGGACTAATGAAAGACAATCCTGAAGCGTATACACATATAATGCGACTATTTAATAGGTCAGGTGTATCTAACGCACATGAGCACAATGACACTCATGCGAAAGCAGGACAGGAGTCTGGAAACACTACAGACTTAGAGACAACGCAAGTGGATTCTCAACACCCTACCTTTATTCGGGAGGAGCAGAATGATGAAACCATTCTTGCTTGGCTGACGCAAAATCATAAGCTGAAGCCCCAGAACGTAGTAGACGCACTTAAAGATGCTAAGCGAAATGGGATCGCGCATCCTAAGCTGGCAACTAGTTGACAGAGTATATCAGTCATGTACAGACTGTGATCTCAATCAGATCAAGCGCTATGGGTTCGCACCGCTTAAGAGTGTGACTGAAGATGATCCATAGCACAGGGTCATCATTGATCTGATTGACCTGCCCACGTCCGAGCACACAGGCGACCTTTACGTATGCCACTTCTTTGATGTGGCGTCACGGTTTAACTTGCTCTATCCATTAAAGGATAAGAATACGTAGACCGTGGCAGAATTATGTTGCCAAGTGTTTGCTGACCACGGGTGGCCAGGTATCATGTACACTGACAACGGTAGTGAGTTCTGCGATGATGTAATGGAATCGCTAGTACTCGTATCAGGCATATGCCATAAGAGAGGTGTGCTATATAAGCCGCAAACGCAAGCCGCGAATGAAACGCGCCATAGAAGACCTAAGTTCCTCCTGCGTACTGCATTAACGGATGATGCAGATGATTGGCCGTACCACCTTAAGTGGGTACAAACAGCGACATTAAGCCCAGTATTGATACGGCGGCCCATGGGGCAAAGGTTGATGCGGCCAAGACCATCTACGATGTACAGGGGGCTCAGCAGAAGGTGCTGTGGCCCACGGGAGTTGTCGGCAACAAGGGATTTGGATTTCTGTATGCACAGCCAGAAGCCAAGTCGGATTATCACGCAACCAAACTGCAAGAGCTAGACGTGCAGCCAACCGTGTGTGCCCCGGGGTCCGGGTTCCAGGCTAATCTGGCGGTGATGGACCATTCAGACAGCGAACTGACCACGGCCATCCTGTTCCAGGTTACGGGAAATGTGGGCGATATGATGTCTCGGAATCCGTTCAAGACATTTCGGGGTGCCATGACTGTACCTTACGTTGACGACTATCCCACCTCGGAATCGTTTAATCGTGTGCAGGCCATGGTCATTGGATACAGGGAGGGCGATGTACGCCTGGTGTTTGGGCGGGGCACGCACCAGCCAGACATCTCAGCCATGTACCGGGACAAGTCCACGGCAGGCTTTACCTCACTGTCGAATCCTGACGCTATAGTGGATGTGCTGGAGGCCGCGGATGCCATTGTAATCCCCGAGCCCGGCGACATTGTGTGCTGGACCGCTGGGGTGGTACACTTTGAGATGAACATTAACCCGGCGAAAGGCAAGGGCAAGTTTAAACCCACACGCGGCCATGTGCAGGAACGCTACGTGGTAGGGACGCACAATCCAAGCGGCAGCCTGACGCAGACGCAGCTGGAAACGCTGTCTGGAATGGCCGAGTCTGGATTTATCCTGCATCCGTACGTTGGACCAAGGAGCCAGTTTGGGCCCGCAAATGCAAACACATTTCACCGCAAGACTACGCAGTTCTGCCGCCGCAGAGTCCAGCCGCGGTGTGAGAAGAAGCGGTTTGTCGAGTCGATTAAGAGTTGCCAGGCCAAGGTGCACAAGCTGACTGATCGACGCCGGCAACTCTACGGTCTCCAGGTCAAGAATCCTGGTTGTCTGTTTGTGCACCCACTCGCTCAGCGGGTGTATAGTGTCTTTAAAAAATAATAATAAAAATGCATGCTAAGTTAAAGTTAACACTAATCTAGCAAACGGCATCTGAATCTGGATACTCGTGTTGTAAACGTCTCTTTGGGCCCCGTGTCTCTCACAAAGTACAGCCCCACCTTGGGCTTCAGGTAGCTGCCGCTGGCAATGGCCATGTCCTTTTTCAGCGGCGGCTTAACGGCCGCCAGTGGGTCCGCACCTGAGTGACCTAGAGACTTTACAGAGAATTCCAGTGATGGAGCCGTCTTACTGAACCTTGCCGTGATCATGTACATGTACCACTTGTCAAAGTGTTCCTTGACTTTGAACAAGTCAATGTTGTCGAACACGCCCCCAGGAGAGTGGAACTGCGCCACCATGTTCTTGTTGACTGTCAGCACAGCGATCGGCCCGTTGTTAAACACTTGGTAAAGGTGCAGAGAGCTGTCCTCGGTGTCCATGGGAGGCACGATCTTGAGCGCAAACGTGTACTGGATTGTGTGATCGTTGACCTTGAGCGACGTGGCGCTGGGCCCGTCGGGCGGTCCCGTGAGCTCGTTGCGCGGCTTCTGAGAGTCTCCGGCGCCGTTGGAGTCGTTGGTGCGCAGCGTAAATTCCATGACTTGTTCGTTGAGCTGCGAGTCCAGCACACTTGCATAGTGATCAAAGTCGTGTGTCTGTTTGTAGTCCTCGATTCGCATACCGGCTCTCTCCACGGCCGCCTTGACACTGGCCTCAGACGTGTCGGAGGAGAGCACGAGACTGCAGTCTGTGTCGGTATTTGTAGGCGTATCCTCCCCGGTTGTAGTCGTGGTGTTTGTGGCCGTACCATCATCCTCGCTCGTGGTCGTTGTATTAGTACCACCAACAACACTGGGGACAACAACAGTCGTGGCGCTGCTGGAGCTGGATCCCCCCCCAAAAATAGAATCCCAGAAATACCAGCACAAATACCAGAATCAGGAATATCCCCACCACTACCGCTATTATCGCGGCAGTCATTTATGCCTTGAAAAAAAGAACAAACCCCCCCCCCCCCCCCCCCCCACCCATTTATTTATTAGATTTCACCTGAAACACACGTCGACCCTGCGTGTGGTTTTCTAAAAATGTTAGCGAGGCAATGCACAATCCATTTAAAATACTCTCATTGTCCGCGTGCCAGTCGAGCTTGCATTTCGCAGTGGGATACAATACTCCGTGTACTAGAATCTGGGAGCGATCGGCCCCCAGAATCTCTTCGACGCATGTCACAAGACCTACAATGGCTTCAGGAATCGGTGTACACTTAACGCCCTTAATGGCATCGAACCAGTCGACCACGCAGCGACCATTGTTGGTGTAGCGCTTGCCAAACATGACTGTGTGATCCGGCACCGCGGTGGCAAAGAGTGCGGTTCGAACCACAGAGCTCCACATGCCGAGTGTAGAGTCACGAATCAGAGCCACACGGTGCGCAGAAGTAGATGGTATGATTGCAATGTCAAGCACTTTAGCTAGCTCGGCACGTTCAATATGGTGGGTCCAGGTGTTGTTGTCTGCTACTACGCGAAACGACAGATTAATCCTCCACCCTTTGGATTTTAGAGATGCGGGCACACGGTGCTTGGCCACCTGCTGGAATGTTTTGTTCTCACGTAGTCTTGTGTACATTACATACAGATCTCCGTGGCCAAGGATGAATTCATGTATGTTGAAGGCACCTTTGTACTTGTACATTATAATGATGATGGTATGTGTGTGTGTGTGTGTGTGTGTGTGTGTGTGTGTGTGTGTGTGTGTGTGTGTATCTTATATATAACTAAACAAAAAAACTCCCTCCACATACCCTGACACGACAAGGATGAATGGTGGAGGGATTTATTTATAAAAAAATTATCGTCAACATTTTCCTATAAAAGCGATCGTTTTTCCGATTTTTATTTCACTTCCTATTAATCCAAAAATCAATTACTAATCATGAGTACTTCTCAACTTCTCAGCTTCGTCCGAACAAACCCCGGCGTGTATCCAGTCAAGGAGATGGTCATTGTGATTTCGACCGTTTTTCTCAACGAGTATCTGCATCCAGACGGATTCTCTGTCCCAGTATCAAGGTGAAGAAACGGAGCAAGTTCCCCTCATCGCGTGGCTGTTGGAATTCCTGGATTATGAGCCGAGTTTCAAGACCATTCCCGACTTGGAAGTGAAAAGAGACCTTGAAAGATTTTTATTAGACAGCGACATCAAAGAAATCCCGGTTGCCACGACTTTGCTTTATACCCTACAAAAAAACCAAACTGCCGCGAGTGCAATGCAAAGATTGACGCGCGAAATGCGGCCCTGAGGGCAGCGGAACTGAATAAAGAGCCAACAGCCCCATCAAGCCACATCAGCGCGTGAATAAAAATGTCAAGTAGCATTGAATAAAAATAAAGTTGAAATCGCTACCACTATCGCTATTGCTGTCGTTGACGTGTCCATACATAACCACGGAAGAAAAAAATCTATATTCCGCCGTATTCGACAAACTGGGGTCGAACACTGCATATACGTCATTAGATATTGAAGTGTATTACCATGACTATGTGGAGAACAATGTTCAGGTGGACACGCTGTGTCAGACGCTGAAGACGCTGCCGAACAGGCTGAAATCGGCCCCAGGAAATGCCGTAATGACGTACATCGCAAACACCGACCAACTGGTCCGCACCAAGCAGCCTTGGCAGTGGCGGTGGAAATTGGACTGGGTGTTTTGTAGCATAACAAATGCGATTGATCCCACACACGTTGGTGTGCTCGTGAACTACGGATTCACACCCTGCACCACCGATGTGGGGATTTACTCGAGCGGCGATACCGTGCTCCGATTCTGTATACCCAGCGACGTTTCGTACTTTGATGCACGCAACCTCTGTGAGAATCAGGGCCGAGAAATCCTCGTACAGCGAAACGCGGCTTTTACAGACTTTTCGCCCGCCGTTGAAAAGTCGGGAGTCAGCATTATCACCTGCAGACTGAAACTACTTCGCGATTGTTTTTGAAAAAATAAATAAACAAAAAATTAAATAAACAAAATAAACAAAAAAAAGTGATACACACCAGGTGCAAACACTTATCCTCGGCCACATGTCCATACTACGGCGGATGCGACACTGGCACTTTTTGGGGGGAGTCAAAAGTACATCGTAGTCGTATGCGTGAATATCTCCTATAAACGTGCTCATCGTGCGCCCGGCATATTCGGGCTGGAAGCGACGGTACTGCCCTGTGCGAATCACCGAATCTGTGTCGCCACTCTGCCACGAGTCAATGTTTCCGAGTTCCTTTTCACCTAGAATAGCACCAGTGCCGGCGTCCTGGAAGTAAATCACAATGGTCACTTCAACCCACTTGTCCCATATTTGCAACAGCGCGACCAGCGCGATATCCTCGTCAAATGGCTGCTTGGGACGTATACCGGCCGACACAATCAGCTCCTCGTGGCGCAATTCCAACGACATCACCAGGGACCGGTCGCCTCCCCCCTCCCGAGTTTTTATCTGCCACAACACATAGAACGATTTCTGCTCAGAACTCGGTGTGCCGTTCGGCACCTTGAGGTTCCACCTGTACGAGCGCGTATCGCCGTACGCCGCCCGCATCATTTTGGTTTCGACATCCTCAGTCCACCATGTAATTTCGTTGCGGTTACGCACATCAGTAGGATCCGAGGGATCTTCGCAGCCGTCGCGGTCTTCACCGTGGATATCGTTGCGGAGCACGTTGCCGTATTTGGCATCCTTGACCACTGTCCAGTGCTTGGCGGTCTTGTGTCCAGTGTCACAATTTTCCTGCCCCATCACCCGGATTTTGTATTGTTCAAACGTCGCAAACGCATCGTCGCCCCATTTTATTGTGTATTCCGTCATTTTCTATTATTATATTAAATCGAGTTCAGTATGTAAATCGGGCATATAAATCGGGTATATAGAGTTAGGTTCGTAAAATCGAGTATATAAATCAGGTGTAAAATCAGGTATATAAATCAGGTATAAAAATCGGGTCTATTAAATCAGGTATATAAATCAGGTATAAAAATCGGGTTTTTATATCAGATCTTTATTTTTTATCAAGCATGTGATCAATCAACACACACGACAGTGTACTGTATCTATGAACAGTGTGACTGGCAATGCTGTTCGTGGCACCGTGGTTGAACAGACCAAGGGCAACGCCCCGGGCTACCATTTCCCGAGACTCGCGTGTCCCCGGCAACACCCCCAAGTAGGAAAGATCAAGGCATCCGACCTAGTGTACGTTGAAAGTGTCTCGAGTGCAGTTTCAAGGTACTTCTCCATACGTAAAGTGTCCTTGTATGTTATAGGAGAAAAGCTGGGTACAAAGATCCCCGGAAGCTTGGCCATTTCCGGACGTGTGTTGATGATTTTCCACATTTCCGGCGATATCAGATGTTTGCGTCCGCGTCCCACAACGCGACTAACGCCCACGCGGTGATCCTGGAGCAGCAACTTGGGCCATTTTTACGCAGTTGTGTTTGACCACATAAGCAATGGCAGCATCGATGTTTACCCCCGGATTAATTCGGCCGTCTTGAAGCAGCACCCTAACCACGTTTCTGTTTCTCTTGCGCACAGCAAAAATGAACGCTGAGCCGCCAAGTGCCGTTGAATCGATCCGTGGATCTTGCAGCAAGAGTCGCACCATACCCAGCCGCCCTTGGCTACAGGCCATGTCAAAGTGGATGGCCGTGGGGTTCACACGTCCATCCTGCAGCTGCTGCTTCACAATGGCCAGATTCCCCAGAGTGATAGCTATTGTAAACACGGACGGATCAAACGTCAAGTTCTTGTTCTTCAAAAGCTCCTTGACCAGCTCAACGTCGCTGTTGTACAAGGCATCGGATAACATACTTAAACTCATGATTTCGGTTTTTTGTTTTTGTGTTGTTGTTGATTTGTGATAAGAAGAAAAAAAATCAACATCCTTATATACACGGATATCCCCCTCTCATGACACTATAACCGTATTCGACATCAGCCCCCTAAACACCTTTCATCGATCACTCCCTTCTCATGTACTCACTACTCTTGTGGACATGTGTCCAGTATAGATATATAAATTGTTTTTGTATATATCTATATTTTCATACCAAATTTCAGTCTCAAAATATGAACTTGTGAGTACGCATCCTTAGTGCACTAGACTTGGCTCGCACCAACGAAGCCATCAATATACTGGACACTTTGGGCCGTCCAGAAATTCCAGAAACCCTACCCTCCTTCGCTGAGCTGTATGTGCGACGAGAGTTTGCCTTCTTTTTCGCCGCTCAGGCACGCGGGTTCTGTAAACTTCGATGGAAATTACTAGGTTTCAAACTATATTAAACTAAAATACAATTTAGTC